ACTCCAGAAACCCCTTGAGCTATCGTCCTATGACGCTATTATCCATTCAAAATTAAATATTCGGATATTTTAAATTGTCATATGAGAATAAAGCTTTAGCCCCGGTACAAAATGGATTTCTTAAAAGTCGAAGCACATTGGATCATATTTATACTTTGTATTCCATAATTAATGATCGTAAATGTAAAAGTTATCAACTCATGTTTGTTTTATTGACTTTCTAAAGGACTTCGATAGAGTTTGTTTGTTTGTTTGCTGTTTAAAGTCGCCCTCAGCAATATTCCAGCTATATGACGGCGGTCTGTAAATAATCGAGTCTGGACCAGATAATCCATTGATTGACCCCATGAGCATCGATCTACGCAATGCAGATGGTAAACGATGACATGCATCAACCATGTCCCCGAGCTTAACCCCCCGATCCCCACGACAAGCATAGTTTGCTGGAGACCAATTCTATCCCGGATCTTCACGGGTCATATATGCGGTATAGAATGGTCAACGTTATTTTCATGACATCATACATCCGTACGTTCTTCCCATCATGCACCAGACCAAGGTCATCAACAGCAGTCTATATGCGGTAAAGAATTGTCTAGAAATTCCGCAGTATGGCATATGTATCTGAAAAGATGCCATACATATGAAAAGTGTGGGAGATTCCCGCCCACATTATTACTCTGACACCGCATTAATCTGTCGACATTATTTCAAGATGGAAGTAAATTTCAAACCATATATGTAACCATGTATATATCAAGGGTTTGAATATATTATATATCTGTGATAAACCCTTCACACAAAAAACATTTAACAAACTCACGAGCGGGAGAAAATGGTTACTAAGCTGCTCACTTCCGACACGAAACAAGGATGATTCGAACCTACTCTAAAGTCTGCATGGCGGTGATTCAACAATAAAAACTCCTGGTGAAGCCCACGGACAAAGACTTAAAAGTCTAGAATGTCAGAGTTTGTAAAGAATTTCTTGCTTGATTTTCATCATCGTTCACCGTGAGGCACAAGAGCGCCGATCCCTTATTTATTTATTGTACCTAATAAAGTCGATATATTTAATATCATAGATAGAAATGTGAAATTTAGGACCTCGATAGTCACATGTTGTCGTTGTACAAAGGCATTGAAAACTGTTTATTGTCATGTCACATAAGGCCACAAAGTGACGCTGAACTCAGTATCTCGTGTGACCGCCCCGGCAGCATCTCCTCGGCACTGACTGGATACGTGCACGAATTGTGTCCTGCGGAATTCTGCGGAATTCTGCGCCATTCTGCTTGTAACGCGCTGGTCAGTTTTGGGAGTGTCTGCGGCGTGTTCGGACATTGACGTACACATCGATCGAGTTCATCCCAGAGGTGTTGACCCAGATTTGGTTGAGATCTGGAGATCTCGACGGCGAGGGCAAGTCGTTGATGTTGGCATTATGCAGGTAGTCTACTGTGACACGAGCTGTGTGCGTTGGATCGCTGTCCTGTTGAAACAGATCCCTCTGGCTGTCAATGATTGGAAGAAGGTGAGGTTGAAAAAATTGTTTCATGTAGCGATTTACTGTCAAATATTCCCAGAACCACAACCAAGTCAGATCTCGTGGTGTAGGATGCGTTTTGCAGTCTCCGTAACTGTGGCATTGCGATGACGTAAGTGGAACAGTCGAATGCAGCGATCCAGTGCAGGGGTGGTAACTCTTGGTCGGCCGGTTCTCGGACGGTCTGCAGTAGAATTGAATTGTGTGTATTGGTCCCAAAGGCGGCAAATTGTGACGTTGTGGACATCGAAGTCACGTGCAACAGAAGACTGCGATTCCCCTCTTTGGGTACGTCCTATGGCGATGTTCCGATCGGCAGCCCTGAGTGTCGGCATTTTCGAAATGTTGACAATTCAATGACAAATTATTAGCGTATGCTTGCCTTTTTATAGCCACTACCACGAGTTACGAATGCCATAACTTGCACGTGCTTTTTGCTTTACTGTTTTCCTCCATGACATTTTTGAACAAGTGTGAAAACAATGCCGTTTAAGACATTGCAAATCGACAATGGCTGCGTTTTGACGCACCGTTTGTCGAATATCAGGCCACCAACATTTCCCAATAACATATATCCAACTTATATACCGGATTTTTGACTGTGCGTTTCTTTTTTTGAAGAGTGTATGTACTGTTGTCTTGGAATCCCGCCGTCACTATCATGTCTCTCTGTTCCTAAGAAGACAATACCCCCTCTCTAAACAACAGAAGCATATCGTCATACAAGCGAACAGATCTGTCACTCTTGATTGCATAGAATGCTCAGACATATGTATGGATTAAGTATCTGAAAAGATGCTTAGGGTGTTTAGATCGTTTAAGATCTGGACGAGATAATGATTACTGGTCAACGATATCAATACAAAAGGAGTAGTCCACTTCTCTGGGTTGGAATATTAACCCTTCACGGAAAGGTAAAAAACATTCGTTTGATTTATATCTGGAACAAACAAAAAAATGCAGTAAGGGCTTAATGAAGTAATTTGTTCATTTCTGGCGTAGTAAGAACAAAAAAAAGGTACAAAAGATCTTTGAATAAATATTTGTTTATTTTTTAAGTAAAGAATAGATCGTCCATCCTAAAATGTAAAAAAATGATTGTTAGTTTTATTAAATATAAAACAGTCCTTATACAGTAAAATACGTTTATAACGAACACGCTTATGACGAACTGACGGATATTACGAACTTAATTTTTGGTCACCGACATTTCCTGTCTTGATGTTGTATGTATGCTTAAAACGAATAATGCTTATAACGAACTTAAATTAGTGGTCCATTTGAGTTCGTTATAACCGTAGGTTACTGTACAGTAAAATACGTTTATAACGAACACGCTTATAACGAACTGACGGATATTACGATCTTAGTTTTTGGTCCCTTCCATTTCCTGTCAGGATGTATGTATGCTTATAACGAATAACGCCTATAACGAACTTAAATTAGTGGTCCACTTGAGTTCGTTATAACCGTAGTTTACTGTATATCTGAAAGAAGCTGCCAAAACTGGTTAACTCACTGACTCAAAGAAATCCCAGCCTTCCAACCCGTGATGGGCGATAAAATGGCCGATTCCTCATGATTGATCGAACTTCAGACGAAGATCTCTTTCAGTGGAATAGTGATAAGCCCCGTGTCGATGGTTTTGTTATTCATTAGCGTCAGTGACAGGGGTTGCGTTATTACTGTAATAATGTATTGGTTATTAGCTCTGGCTGTCGTGGCTACATGCAATTGCTTTACCATACGGGAGAATGTGTACATAGAACAACAACTAGTGCTGGCTAATACAGTTGTTAGAGATTATACCGAGAAACTTACAAAGATAGGATGCGCGTCACTGTGTAGCAACACCGACGGCTGTAACGGCTTCCACTACTGCACCGATATCAACGATGTCGCAAAATGTTCATTGATGGAGATGTTGGACGTTCAGGTTCCTAGTGCCAGTTGCACTGTGTACGCAGAAGCTGCGTTTTTGAGTCAGGTGAGGGAGTGAGGGAGTGAGTTTGGTTCAACACTTTTTAAGATATTGTGTGTTTGTTGTTTAACGCCGCACTCCAATATTCCATCTAAATGACGGCGGTCTGTAAATGATAGAGTCTCGACCTGACAATCCGGTGATTGACATCATGAGCATTGATCCACGCAATTGGGATACGATGACATGCATCAACCAAGTCACAGAGCCTGACCACCCGATCCCGTAAGTCGCCTCTTACGGCAAGCATAGTCGCCTTTCACGACAAGCACGGGATGCTAAGGACACATTCTACCCCGGATCTTCACGGGTCGTATTTTAAGGTTAAGACAAGGTGTCTCATAGATATATACCGGTGTTTCGGTATATATCATTATACCACTGTCAAGCAAGAGAGCTTGTACACTTTCCTTGAGGATCTATACTGAACCGTCGCATCATAACAGAATAAAGAAGTTGTCAACTTTACTTTTTCTTACCAACTTTTAAAAATGCCAATTAAACAGTTTGTATTTGAAGGTGTTTCATCACGGCGTGTCAGCATAATGTGGGACGAAATCCCGAATTGATGCAGGTCTTTTTCATTCACTGATACACAATAGAATGTTGCCTTGTGCCGTTGCATATACCCTTCCTCTAACATGACTCCACTAATAGTCCTCGAGGTGAGGTGAGGTGAGGTGAGGTGAGGTGAGGTGAGGCGTAATGGGGTTTAACGTCGCGTTCAAGATTATTGCACTTAGGCAGCGACATGTGTGTGTGTGTGTAGCTGCTTTGCTAGTCCGGACTGATGCCGATTTATAGTGCAAGCTCACTGATATACCATGACGCAGTTTAACATGGATACCCCACTCAGACACTGTATACTGACTCCGAGCCGACAAGTCCTTGTTTTAGACCCTTACTGCCGAGCGCCCTGTAGGTAGAAGAAGTACATCTTTCAACGTCTTTTGATATGACGCGGCCAGGGAATCTAACCACCGAACTTCCGATCTCCGGGTGAACGCTATACCACTAGATATGAAATGGATCAATTAAACGTCTTAACAAACGGACCTTATGTTCCCAGTACAACATGCTTGTCACAACTACTGACTAAAATGGGTATCGGATGGTCGGGCCTAGTGACGAACTTGGCAAATAGCGTGTGATTGTACCCCGTAGCGTGAAGTAGCGTGGTCACTGCGGCGTTAAACAACATTCACACAGGTAACATACGGGTAATTAGGAACGTACAGCCTTGTTCATGATAGAACGTCGTACGCATAAAGCATGTACTTTCACTGATTAAATTTTGTTAATTTCACACATTTTTCATTCCAAGGAGAATGTTGTGTCACATGAATATTTTAGCAAAATGAATGCTGAAGCCTTGGTGTCCGGCTTCACGGGGAAGATTGGTGTTGTTAAAGACGTGTAAAGTAGATGCCAAGGACATGCTAGAGACATTTGTAAGAATTCATGTTATTTGTTTCAGCTTTCAACACCGATTCCTTGCCAGGATGACTGGAGCAGTCCATACGCAGGGGAGAATTGTGATATTCGGCTTCAAGGTAAGGGATAGATAGGAAGTAAAGAAAAGAAAAGAAAATATAAAACATTCAAATATACGTATCATTGCTTTTGCGTCTTACGGTTATTTTGGATACATGTAAAATGTCATGGTGTTATAATAGCATGAAGACAGCCCTTGGCCCCCCTTCTGTCGCGGCTATTTTGAATGGTTACTTCGGTGAGTTGGATTAGGTCCGAAGCATCTTCCCGAGGCAAAGGAGTTAACTGACTGTAAAAGGTTGGAATTTCTTGACTCGATCCTAGCGCCACCCGTGGCTATTTCGGGTTATGCCCATTCTATGCCCCTCCTATTGACCAATCGAAATCCACCTCTCGTACCACTTGTATCACTCTCCTGCGCAGTTAGTGACTCAGCATAACACCACCGCCCCAGGCTAATTTGCATATCACGTGACCGGACTTTTCTCTTGTTTGTAAACAAACGCGCTTTTTCAGAAATCAGTATAGAACGGACTAATGCAAGTAGTTGGGGGCGCTTTACATACATACATAAACTGAAGTACAAAAGAAAGTACACACCCCACTATTCTGACAGTAAAAGAAGACAGGGCAAACTTTATTGTGATTGTAATGTTTAATGTCATTGTTGAGTCATTTTCAAACATGTTTAGAATGGATTTAAAGATTTGTGGCCACATAAAACTTTTCAGTTGACAATAACGTCCATAGGCGGTCACTCATCAAAAATCACACTTGTAGAAATGATGACAGTCCCAGGTATGAAGGCCATGCGAGTGGTCTCAGTACCTCGTATGACCCCCATTTGAGTTAATGCAAGCCAGGACACGCCTTCTCATGGAAAAGGTCAACCGTCGGATGACGTCATTAGGGATCCGCTGCCACTCTTCTCGCAGAGCCTGTTCCAGCTGTGGTATGGTGGTTGGTGGCTGTGCACGTCGTCGCAACTGTCTACCGAGATGGTCCCACAGGTGTTCAATGGGTGACAAGTCCGGAGAGCGTGACGGCCAAGGCAAAAGTTGAATGTTCTGACGGTTCAGGAAGTCCATAGTGAGTCTAGCGGTGTGTGGTCGGGCGTTATCTTGCTGAAAAAGAAACCCCTGCCTTTGCCCCTGCATGAAGGGGATCACCACCGGCTGTAACAATTGGTCCCTGTACCTCTGGGCTGTCAGGGTCTGGTGGAGAATGACCAAATCCGTCTTCTGTTCGCCGCAAATGCCTCCCCAAACCATAACGCTGCCTCCGCCAAAAGGATGAACTTGTTGGACACATGCTCCAGCCAGTCGCTCGCCTCTACGTCGGTAGACTCTCACTCTACCGTCAGCATGGTAGAGGTTGAATCGACTTTCATCGGTAAAGAGGACTCGTGACCAGTCACGACGTTGCCAGCGTCTGACTCTTCTTGCCCAGCGAAGACGGCTGATACGGTGTTGAGCGGTCAAGGTCATCCCACGGAATGGTCGATAAGCCCGGATACCGGCAGCTCGTAGTCGTCTCATGACTGTGTTCCTGCTGATGTGGTGACCTAACGCTGTCGACGCTGTTGATGCCATGGTGAGGAACCTGTTGCGCAGGTGTAATGTGCGTATGTACCGGTCTTCTGCAGGGGTCGTCACTCTCGGTCTTCCTCTTCTTGGGCGGTCGGATGTCTGGCCAGTCTGGTTGACACGACGAAGGAGTCTGATAATGGTTTGCCTGGTGCAGCCAAGGGTCCTTGCGATGTAACTGTTCGACGCCCCCACTTGGGACATTCCCACGGCTCTCTCTCGCTCCGCTGCTGTTAAACGTGGCATTTGTCTTGTGTTTTTTTCGTTGAATGTGTAATGAACGATAGAATCCACTGCCTTTTATACTGTTTCTACGCACATTGCACGTGCAAATGGGGAAAATTGCAATTTTCACAATGTGTGCTTTTGTTGCCTATCATAATGTCAAGGTTACGTTTCTGCGATATGCTCTCAATGGTTTTGTTCATTATATTACGATAGCGCCAAAAATGTAACAACTTTTTCAACCATATGCGTAATATATGATATTTTAGGGGGGTGTACTTTCTTTTGTACTTCAGTTTATATATATATATATATATATATATATATATATATATATATATATATATATATGCAACTGCGACAGTGAGTTGAATGACAATATATTTCTATACATCAAAGTGGCCGTATCGCTAGCTCTCCGTTGGGCTTCAAAGACAGCAATGTAAACATAGGATAACTACGCAAATGTAAATAGTTGTTAGAAAATATGTCTGTGGTAGAACACCGACCATTGCAGACGACAATATGGTTGGTCCATGTTCCTGACAATGACAAGATTGCTCATCACAAATCTGTTTGTTTGTTTGTTTGTTTGTTTGTTAACGCCACACTGAGCAATATTCAAGCTATATGACAGCGGACTGTAAATTGTCGAGTCTGGACCAGGGCGCCGTTCCACAAAGCGATCTTAGCGCTAAGACTATCGTAAGTCAGTGTTTAAGTATGGGAGTTACGATCACCTCAGCGCTCAGATGACTTTGTGAAACGGGGCCCAGACAATCCAGTGACTGACACAGGTGGTCCGGGTCATGGAGCCTGGTCAGTCTGACAACCCGGTCCATTAAGTCGCCTCGTAGGACCAGAATATCCTAACCCTGAATCCCCAAGGAGGAGGTATCATTGAACATTGTACAACTATTTCAGATTGTAAAGATGTCGGCGTCTACAAATCATCCACGCCTGGCCCGTTCAACGTCTTGCCCGAGCCGTTCACAACCTCATTCACTGTGCAATGCCAGGACTTCACGGACAACAGAATACCGATAATGTTCAGGCACGCATCCCAACCAGGATGCTTGGAGACGCCTGTGACGTACCTAGACGTCCCCAGGAAAAACTACAAATCCGACCTCATCTCCGACCCCTGCTACATGTGGCTCGGTCTGGACAGGATCCACGCTCTGACGCTCGTCCGACCCTACAGCCTTCTCATTCAGTTCAACACTACGAGCGGCCTCTGGGGTGAAGCTCTTTACAACGACTTTTCTGTCGGTGACGAATCCTCCGGGTATAGCCTGTCTATATATGGCTTCACGGGCAAAGGTGTAGCAGGCGATGCCTTTAAAACGACGATCTTACACGAGACGCTGAATGGAGCTACGTTCTGCGCCAAGGATACATGCCCCGAGGCGATAAACCAGTGTGCTGCTGACAACAAGGGAGCCTGGTGGAGCAGAGAAGACACAGAGTGTGTTGGCACCCCCCACAACGGCAATAACATCCTTTGCCCTCAGGCTGAGTCACTGACCCCTTGTCTTGATTACTTCATGTGGTTGATTCCAAATGAAATATCATGTTGCGTTTGACTTTCCTGAACTATCTCCTCCAGGTGTGAAGCTGGCAAACCAAGGTTTATAATCAGGGCGAATCATAATTTACTCCGATACAATATCTTTCTGCGTGAAGAGATATCGTATCGATGTAAAAGATTTGATCGTGAAGTGGCAGTCGGAATGTGTTTTCTAATCATGCAACCTCGTAAAAGTTAACACGGGGTATTCGGAACGACAGAACTTTCAAAGTTATCGTCTATCTCTCTCTTCCGTGGGATTATCATTTGAACATTTGAACTGAGTACGTTGCACAATCCGTGGGAAGAACTGCCATACAATCGCAACCATATATTAGCAGTGTTCGAAATACCTGCCTGTCCGACCGTCCGAGACGGGTTGATTTCAACTCGGGCTGCCAGATTTTCAAATCCCCCTGCCCGACGGTCGGGTTATATTTCATATGTGACAATATTCTAAATATTTCCCGATGATAATCATTAATTCACATGTAAAGATGAATGATAAAATGTAACCAAAAAGAAACCCCGTTAGCTTATCCTGAGAAACATATGATTATAGTGGGCAGGCAGGTTTTGGTCAGGGCTGGCAAGTATTTCAGCTAGCCAGTCCTGTGGTCTGGCTGAAATTTTTGGGAGTTTCATACCCTGATATTAGACATTCCGGCATGTTCGTTTGTTCAGTTTTCAAAATTTTAATCGAGAGCTGTGTCAACATATTTTTTAAGCGTAGTCTGAAATGAAAGTCGCCAAGTTGAAACGAGTGCCGTAAAGCTCGAGAAAGCTGCTTTCTAATTGGCTGATATCGACTTCTTGTTAGTTGTTTCACTGGTCGGTCAAAGTTCGCGAAAGATCGTTCTGACGTAATGGGTTAGGCGCCTCTCACAACAAGCATGCATAGTAGCGAACTGTACGGCAAACATGGGTTTCTTAAGACCTGTTCTAACCCGGATCTTCACGGGTCTCTTACCTTAAGCTGGCTGCACCATGCAAGTATTTGTTGAATACTAGTGAATAAACTGCTAAAATCAAGTTTGGGTTGGCTGTGTTATTATCTTTTTGGCGAATTTTATAGTTTTATGAGTTTATGGGTTTATTTCAAAGCGTTAGCTCGTGTGTTCGTGTGTTAATGTTTTGTTGTTTAACGCCGCACTCAACAATATTACCAATCCAATTATATGACGGTGGCCTGTAGATAATCGAGTCTGAATCAGACAACCCAGTGATTGATATTGTGAGTAATGATCCACCCCATCAGGGTACTAAGAGACGCTGTGAACCAAGTGACCGAGTCTGACCTATTACGACTATTACGACCAGCATGGGGACCAATTCTAACCTGGAATCCCCATCGGGAAGGCACAATAAATGAGTGGGGAAGTGAGTTTTACGCCGCTATCAGAAATATTCTGGCAATATCCCTGCAAAAACACGCTCAATATCCCTACAAGAACATGCTTCACGCATTAATCAAACTTACTCACTCACTCGCTTACAAAGTCTCATGAGAACTTGATGTCTTCTTTGGAATATTGAGTCACATCACCCATCTTATCCTTGACCTCACATCACCTTGACCTCAAACTGCCCTTGACCTCACGTTACGCCATCTTTCCGAGGGCAAGGGAGTTAACTGTCTATTAAAGTCCAGTTTCCACCCATGCCGAACCAGGCTGGAATTTCGTGTTTCGGTCGTAGCGCCACCAGTGGTTATTACGAGTTATGTCCCTTATATCTCCTTCCTTTTGACCAATCAGATTCCACCTCTCACATCGCTTGCATCATTCGTCAGCACTCGCCCCTTTCCGTAATCTGCAAGAAGACTCGTCCCCCTATCGATGAATGTTATGTGCGAAAATACGACAAACCAATCAGAATGCGCGTATGGTTTCAAGTTCTTCGTCAAAGAATCCCTCAGAAATAAATTTTGATTTTACATATGTCTTGCATCTCAAAATATACCCAAGACACAGTTAAATGTGTTCAATCATATCAGAGACCATATAATCTATTATATGGTCTCTGATCATATTGTATAATTCCGCATGTCCAGCTGTGCTTTAAATTGCATCTGAAATATATATACTATATTGGGAAAATGTGTGAACGATTACGCAACGAGTTGACAATTGTTTTAGGTATGCCCGTTTGCGCTAAGACGGAGCCCGGTCGCAGAAATGACCATGAGAGGGGCACGAGTCGCTGTTCGGCTTGTCCCGGAATAACACGAGTTGGTCACGAATGCACTTGCATTTGCTTCAAAATTGCCGCGCCCAGTCAAGACGATATCTGATCAAGTTAATCGAAGAAAGGTCTCATATTCCCTGTCTCAGACACACTGTGCATGTGGACTTGCACCACAACATTTGAGGACGTTGATTAAAAACATGAAAAGATTTGAAAAATATCTGTTGACGCTAAGTTGAAGGTACAAATCCTACAATCGACGAAATCGGTAGGGCTGTCGCCATGTTGTTTGCGAACCGAATGTCAATTTCGTTACGTGATTTAGATTGGACTATGCATAGAGTCGTTAGTCCAGCCAAAATATAACTCAGAAATTCCAGCCTACTTTGTCAAGGGTGGAAACTGGACTTTTATGGTCAGTTAACTCCCCTGCCTGGGGAAGATGACCTTAATTACCCCTGGTCTCGCATCACCTCAATCTCAGATCTTTTACTCCGATACGATACACCGCGTGGAGATCTGAGGACACAACCACAGGAGGTCACGTTAGGTGAACATGCTTGCTTTTAAATTCACAGTAAAGGTGAGCATTACATTCAGGCAAGCATATCTGAGTTGTGTATCTCGAAAACGAACATTATCGGGGAATTCCGAATGCAAAACATGAAGGCGCACTGTTATACATTGTTGTAGATAGTTCATACATCCATTCGTTTCGAAGAACCATGGTATTTACAAGTAAAAAGGTCTACTATCGATGTTGTATTTGTGTTCTGTGTAGTCGTGTTCCGATCAATGGAAATAATAGAAGATTGATCCGAAGCTCAAAATAACCGATCGAACGCAATTTACCGTAATCGAACACAAACGATTTTGCCCCCTCATTCAAACCAGAGATCGCTTTGTTTTCAAGAAGATATGTTCACTACTTACTACTTAGTATGTAAAGGAAAATATGAGAAAGAGTTAGGGCGGTGTCTTTTTCTTTACAAATTAAGTGCTGAAGCAAGTGTGGAATTGTTAACCAATCAATTTCAAGGATCGACAAGATGGGTAATCCAACCATTAATCATAGTTTTAAAACCATTTCAGAACACAAGCTCTGTGGTACTTTTCTTTCGCTAAGATAGCCTTTTCCGAATCGAGTTGCTCACGAAATGAAGCTGAAACGTTTCGAAACGTTGGGCAAAGAACCCACGCATCCTTCATTTAGTTTGGGCGGTCAAAGTTCACTCAGGGTTCATCTGATGTGACCTTCACCTTGACGTTTTGGCAGATGCTGACGCTATGAGGTGCCATGGTAATGAATTGGGGTGATAGTGACATGGACGTCAGAAAGGGGCTTTACACATTGTACCCATTTCTAGGAATCGAACCCGGGTCTTTGGCGTGAAGGGCGAACGTTTTAACCACTAGGCTTCCCCACCGCTCCCCATCGGAGTGATAAATCTGATGTTTATTATATTGATCAACACCGGCCCGTGGCCGGTCCTATCATCCGACGAGGGGATACGTGTGTGACTCTCCTCTCGCGTTAAAACATCGAGATATCACTATAAATATTAAATCTGATTCTAATTAGATTGGCATCACCTTTGGCCTTATAATTGTTGTATTTCTGTTCTCGTCACTGTATGATCGAGAAATAAATGATGCCAGATTATTTTATTTTTTTTTAACCCTCGCTCGCTCCCTCCCTCACTCCCTCATTCCCTCCCTCCCTCACTCACGCACTCACTCACCCATCCACCCACCCACCCACTCACCCACTCACCCACTCACTCACTCACTCACTCACGGGATGTATCTCAGATTCCAAACCAAGTGCCCTTGGCAGGCACATTTGGGAAAACCGTTATTTTGTCTAACATTTGGACTTTGATAAATTCTCTTTTTTTTTAAATTCAGATGTATTTTCAAATTGAATTTTAAAATTGCATTCAATTCAATCTGTAAGACTAAGCATTAAGCGTCTTCCTCTGTATTGGTCATGTCACAAGTGAACTATAACTATAACAGCATGAATTGGAAAACGTTTTCTTCGGGCTCTAATTTTGTGTAACGTCTTTTGAGGAGTTTATCTAGTGGAGATCATCTTGTTTTCACTCAAGGATGAAAAGAAATACCCCAACATGTACACCTACTCTCAGGCACACTCACAATATAGCAATATATCCTGGAGAGCCAACACTGCCATCCCTTCAGCCAATTACCATTGTTTGTTTGGCGTGTTATTGTTGTTTCTAAGAAGCTTCGCTAAATGCTCAAAGGAGCTGACAGTATTTGATCTGGGTTGACGTCATGGCGCGATTCAAATTACTCCCCATTGATCTAGCATTTGCTTGGTAACATTGTTCTATCATTCCTGATAATCAAGACAGCGCATCCACATGAATATTATCGATAGGTGAAATACGTTCTTGCGTGAGTTTGATAAAACATACGCCATTGACAAACGGGGGAAGGAAAAACATTCTCGAAAGCTTAAAACATATTTTAATTCTGAAAAATGCCCTGCTATATGTTTAAAACTCGAACTTCTTCAACGAGGTCAAGCAAATAGAATGAATTCTTGATTGTGGGTTCAAATCCTGGGCTCTTGGGGTTTGGTTGCGTTCCTGTCGTTGGCTCTTAGCGGGGTGTTGAGGGAGTTGGAGCTGATGAAGTGGGTGTCGCTGTTGGCTGGCTGTCTGAGGAGGCGGCTGATGATGTGGGAGGTTTTGCCTGTGAACGGGAGGGCGATGCGGAAGGGCGTTGATTCGGGTTTAAAGGTCGCAGGTCTGGGTGTGGGATGGAGTATAGAGGAGATGACTTTGTCGACGAGATTGGGTGGATAATTGTTGAGGTTGCTGACAACGTGGCGGAGGTGTTCGATCTCAGGTTTGGGGTCAGCAGAAGAAGGGTTGATGGCTCGTTTGGTGAGGGTGGAGATGATGCCAGTCTTAGATCTAG